AGTGCGGGAAAGAGCAGCCACGTAAATGTCAGTCGAGACAGTTTCGTCTCGGCGAGAATTTGATTTTGCGTGTTTCCTCGTAAGACGTAGCATTAGATCACTGGCTCGCGCGCGGCCTTGATACGCATATGGCCAGTGGAGCTGCTCGTTAGAATACTGCCTCATTTCTCATACTGATCAGCGAATTGAGCGGAGAGCGATCACAACATCGACCGCCTCGGCCGTCAAGATAAAAACCGTCGCGAAAACTTGATGCGGGCATCTCGAAAAATGCTTCGCGTGGCGTATTTCCTCAGCATTTTCCTCGCGTCAAACGGCTGTTGCGCTCGCCGACGGATTTTTGATAAAAAAATGCAGCGGGACGTGCCGTGGCACGAGCAACATTGCGGGCATCCAGCGTGAGCTCACAATGCGCGCGTGTAGCAGTGCATGATATCTGTGCCTCTGCGGGCTTGATTTACGTCTTTGTCGCCTAACAACTCGATGATGGGTGCAGCTGGTCCGGCTTGAAATACGTTATTGTAACAAGTTGAGGAAGTGCTAGCGCAAACTTGTGATCAGTCCGATTTTCTTTTTACTGTTTCTCATACTCTCATCATATTATCTATTTATATGTCGGGAAAAAAGTGCACGCGTGCATGCATGTGTCTTCATGGTAGCACCTATTTGCTAATTATTTGCTAATTTCCAAAAATATATTTCACCATCTATTTTTGCTGCGCGCCGTAAGAAAACGGTATGCCTCACCTTTTTCCACAGGCCTTCCAAACATTATACCTTCTCCACAGTTTATTATGTTATGTATTATGTTATAGTTTATTATACCTTCTCCCATAATTCCAGACACAAATACTTTCTCCTATTTTTCGTGACACAATATGTATACGCTCTCCCGTAGTTCCTGACACATATACGCCTTCTCGCGTAGTTCCCTGACACAATATACTTTCTGCTATTGTTCGTGACAGAATGTACCCTCTCCCGAGTTCCTACACACATGTTCCTTCCTCACGAGTTCCTGACACAATAATACTTTCTCACCACGTAGTGTCCTTTACTACAATATACCGCTCTCGTCTAGTTCCTGACACAGATATTATATACCTTCTACGTAGTTCCGTGACACAATAATACACTCTCTCGTAGTATCCTTACACAATATAGCCCTCTCTGCGTAGTCCTGACACAATGTACCCTCTCCTCGTAAGTTCCTTTACACATATAACCTCTCCGTAGTTTGCCTGACACTGACGAATAGTACCCTCTCATGTAGTCTTCCTGACACAATACAACGACCTTTCCGCGTACAGTTCCCTGCCCAAATATACGCCCTTTCCTGTACATCGTTAGTACACACTGTCTGCCACTGCGCAGAGCACACGTGCATATTACGGGGGGACGAATCATCTCTAGAGGCATCTTTTGAGTAGTAGATACGTGAATTGCACTGTTAGGCATCCACTTAAAGTTCAGCGACTGTCATTTCGAGAACATTGATCCCTCTCGACAAATCCGGCCAGCAGCATGCTGCTTGAGTGAGCGGGCAGACGGCTGGGTGGATTGCGGGTAAATGGATGGGTGGGTTCGCCAGCTGGCTGGAGGGAGGGTAGGTGGAGGAGCAAGGCAGGCCAGCTGGTTGGCAGGGTGGGTTGCAGCTGGGTGGAGGGGTGGGTTGGGCAGCCTGGTGGAGGGTGGTTGGCAGCTGGGTGGAGGAGAAGGTTGGAGCTGGGTGGAGGATTGGGTTGCCAGCCTGGGTGTGTTGGGGTTGGTTGGCAGCTGGGTGGAATGGGTGGGTTGCCAGCTGGGTAGATGGGTGGGTTGGCAGATCTGGTAGATGGGTGCGTTGCCAGCTGGGTAGTATGGTGGGTTGCCAGCTGGGTGGAGGGAGGTTGGCAGCTGGTGGACGGGAAGGTTGGCAGCTGGGTGAAGGGTTGGTTGCAGGCTGGGTGAAGAGGGAGGTTGGCAGCTGGTAAGATGGGTGGGGTTGCAGCCTGGGTGGAGGGAGGTGTTGGCAGGGCTGGCGGACGGGAGGGTTGCAGCTTGGTTGGTGGGGATTGGTTGCCAGCTGGGTGGCAAGGGTGGGTAGGCAAGCTGGTGGAGGGAGGGTTCGCCGTTGGCAGCTGGGTAGAGGGGTGGGTTGCCAGCTGGGTGAGGGGAGGTTGGACAGCTGGGTAGCATGTGGTGGGTTGCCCAAGCTGGCGTGGAAGGGGAAAGGGTTGGGCAGCTGTGGACGGAGCAGGTTGGCACTGGTGGTGGGGTTGTGGTTGGCAGTGGTGGAGGGGTGGGTAGGTGGCTGGGTAGAGGGGTGGGTTGGCAGCTGGGTGGTGGGTTGGTTAGCAGCTGGGTGGGGGGGGTTGGCAGCGTGGTGGTGGGGTTGGTTGGCAGCTGGTGACGGGAGGTGTTGGCAGCATAGGGTAGATGTGCGTTTGCCAGCTGGGTAGATGGGTGGGCTTGCCAGCTTGGTGAGAGGGGAGAGGGTTGGCAGCTGGGTGAGGGGAGGGTTGGCAGCGGTGGCGGGAGGGTTGGCGCTGGGTGGTTCGGGTTAGTGGCAGCTGGGTGGAGGGGTGGTAGGTGCTGGGTAGATGGGGTGGGTTGCAGCTGGTGGAGGGAGGGTTGGCAGCTGGTGGACCGGGAGGGTTGGCAGCTGGATGGAGGGGTGGTTGTGCCAGCTGGGTAGATGGGTGGGTTGGCCAGCATGGTGGAGGGGAGGGTTGCCAGCTGGTGGAGGGGTTGGGTAGTGTGGGCTGGGTAGAGGGGTGGGCTGGCAGCTGGTGAGGGGAGGGTTGGCAGCTGGGTAAGATCGGGTGGGTTGGCAGCTGGGGGTGGAGGGGAGGGTTAGCACTCAGAGCAGGTGTAAGGGGTGGCAGGCGCTGGTGGGATGAGGAGGGTTGGCAGCTGGGTGGAGGGGAGGGTAGGCGGGCAGGTGGCTGGGTGGAGGGGTGGGTTGGCAGCTGGGTGGAGGGGAGGGTTGGCAGCTGGTGGAGGGGAGGGTAGGACGGGCAGGTGCTGGGTGGAGGGGTGGTTTGGTAGCTGGAGTGGAGGGAGGGTTGCAGTGGTGAGGGTAGGGTTACGGGCAGGTGGCTGGTGGAGGGGTTGGGTTGGCAGCTGGGTGAGGAGGGGGTTGGTAGCGTGGGTGGAGGGGAGGGTTTGGCAGCTGCGGTGTAGGGAGGGTGGCAAGCTGGGTGAGATTGGTTGCGCAGCTGGGTGGTGGGTTGGTTGGCAGGCTGGTGGATTGGTGGTTGGCAGGCTGGGTAGATGGGTGGGTTGCCAAAGCTGGGTAGATGGGTGGGTTGGCAGCTGGGTAGATCGGGTGGGTTGCCAGCTCTGGGTGGGTGCGTGGTCGAGATGGGTGGTTGTGTTTGCCAGGTAGGTGGAGGGGAGGGTTTGCAGCTGGGTCGTGGGGTTGTTGGCAGCTGGTGGAGGGGAGGGTTGGGCACTGAGAGGGGGTGGGTTGCCAGCTGGGTTAGTATGGGTGGTGTTGCCAGCTTGGTGGAGGAGGGTTGTCAGCTGGGTGGAAGGGGCTGGGTAGGTAAGGCTGGGGAAGGGGTGGGTTTGGAGCTGGTGGACGGGAGGTGGCAGCCTGGATGGGAGGGTTGGGTTGGCAGTTGGGTGGAGGGGAGCGGTTTACGCAGCTCAAGAGGCGTGGTGGAGGGGTGGGCAGGCAGCTGGGTGGAGGGAGAGGTGGCAGCCTGGGTGGAGGAGAGGGTAGGCGGCCAGGAGCGCTTGGGTGAGGGGTGGGTTGGCAGCTGGTGGAGGGGGGTTGGCAGCTGGATGGGGAAGGTGTAGTGCGGGCAGGTCGGCTGGGTGGAGGGTTGGTTTTGGTAGGCCTGGGTAGAGGGGTGGGTTGTTAGCTGGTGGAGGTGTTTGGTAGGTGGTAGAGGAAGGGATGGTAGCTGGGTAGAGGTGTGGGTGGTAGCTGGATAGAGTGTGGGTTGCAGACCTGGGTGGAGGGTTGGGTTGTAGGCTGGGTGAGGGGTGGGCTGGCAGCTGGTTGCTAGGGGGTGGGTTGCCAGCTTGGCGGAGGGAGGGTAGAGGTGGCTGGGTGGAGGGTTGTTTGGTAGCTGGTAGAGGGTGGTTGGTAGTGGGATGGAGGCGTTGGTTTTGGTACTGGGCTAGAGGGTGGGTTGGTAGCTGGGTAGAGGGGTGGGTTGGTAGCTGGGTGGAGGGTTGGTTTGGTAGCTGGGTAGAGGGGTGGGTTGGTAGCTGGTTGTAGGGGTGGGTTGCCAGCTGGGCGGAGGGGAGGGTAGGTGGCCGGGAGGAGGGCGGGTGGGCGTTTGGGTAAGGGAGTGAGAGGGCGTTTGAGTAAGGGGCCTGGGTGAGTGGGTAGGCGGGCGTCTGGGTGGAGGGGTGCGTAAGTGGCTGGGCAGAGTGGTGACCGTGAGTGACCGAGTGGGTGTTCAAGCAGGCGGGTGAGCGGCTACCCGCGTTCTCGTCATGGCTGGGGTGACCGATGGATGGCCTGTGAACGCGATGCGTGCGCAAACGTTCTTATTGATCTCTCGGGCCACCCGGCTAGACATTCGTACAATGCCGCCAATTAGTTGTGACCACCCTGCTGTTTGCACGCATGGGCGTGTGCGTGCGCTCATACGTTAGTTAGCCAAAATAACGAATGAGTGAACACGGCATGCGTTTCTCGTTCCGTACGGTATATGCATCAGTCAAAGCGACGAATCACAAGTGCAAGCAGCGCTATGGATTTTCGCGTGTGCGTGTGCACGGCACACATCTGTGTATTATGTACTAGTTGGTGATATATATCAGCAGTGAGAGAGAGGGAAGATGGCTGAGGTGTAAGCGAAATTATGAACAACAAAATACGCCCTGACTGACTCAGTGAGTGAATCACTTACTGACGTGTAACTAGGTAGTCACTGTCATAGACTGGTGACTCGTAGTTGTCACTGACTCATTGCTTTCTATTCATTCAATCATTGTATACATTTGCCTAAATTTGCCTAAGTCCAAGTTGTGAATAGATCTTGTTATGTTCTTTGCAGGAGGAGTTGGAGCGGAAAGATCCAAGAGGAAGAACCCTGCTGCATCTGTCAGTGTCTTTGGGTCATCTGGAGTCCACTCGCGTGTTGCTGAACCATGGCGCAGATGCGAGTGCAGAGAATGGACAGAACTGGACAGGTGGCAGCACTTTCTCATACATTCGGCTTAAGTTTCTGAAAGTGCGTGACCCAGTTTTAGTATTGCATTAGCAGTGGAACCTGTGGTGACTTGAAGTAAATCGATATAATCTGATAAAGAGTGCATCATAGGGCCTACTTCTATTGCCTTTACCACTGTAAATCTGAAATACTATTCATCTGGTTACACCACTGTATTGAATTGAATTGTTTAATCTGCTAGGATAAAGTGTTTACACTAGCCAAGACATGCTGTTTAAGTGATAAAGGGTGACAGGGCAAATCGTATTAGAACACGCTCAAAGAACCCGATGATAAAGTTTAAGCGGCCAAACTTTTTACATGTTTATAGTGATCATCAGTTATAGTAACCCTACAAGTCCATGCAACAGATCTGAAAGTGTCTGAAAATTTATTACATGTTGTTCGTATTTAAAGCTACACGCATGTCCTTTTGATTGTAAGTGCCTGGAGGATAAATAATGATATCAAGGGCATCCATTTTTAGCTCGCCTTGACATCGTCAAGATGAGCTATTGCCATGGGGTGTCGTCCGTTCGTCCGTCCGTCCGTCCGTCC